GGACCAGCAGGGGTAGGCAGGAAGCTTGGCTTTCTCCATCTCCAGGGGCAACCCAAGGCTCCTGCTTGCTCTAGCTCCATGGCCACCGCCATCATAGTTGGTTTAATTTGCATACTTGCTCCTGATTGGCTGGTGGGCATGACTTGTGGGTGTAGCAGAGTGGCAGAGCGATGGAGTTATGGTTAATTTGCATGTTTCTCTTTTATTAGATAGGATTACAATAAACCCTCACTTAACATCCTCAATAGGTTCTGCAGCTTCAAATGAAAAAACATATAACAAAAGAAATTTTACCATAGGCTAGTTGATATAAAGAAGAGTTAAGCGCCTGTGGCATACTATGAACATTATAATAAAACAATGCTGAATGTATTTGAGGACCTACTGTATACTCTCTATACATTTTGGATTTGGGGCATTTTATTTTATTTTTTTTATTTTTCAAATATATTTTATTGATTTTTTACAGAGAGGAAGGGAGAGAGATAGAGAGCTAGAAACATTGATGAAAGAGAAACATCGATCAGCTGCCTCCTGCACATCTCCTACTGGCGATGTGCCCGCAACCCAGGTACATGCTCTTGACCGGAATCGAACCTGGGACCTTTCAGTCCGCAGGCCGACGCTCTATCCACTGAGCCCAACCGGTTTCGGCGGATTTGGGCATTTTAAATGGAAGTATTGTATTTCACTTTCCATCAAAATATAGCCTTATCTTTTTTATTATTTTTAAGACCAAGATAATTCCTTAGGCACTTGAGACTTAGATTATAAAATAAATAACCTAGGATTTGTATATAATTTTCTTTTTCCTTCCATAAGAACTTACTCATATGTCTAGATCATTTCCCTTTGGGTTTAGCAAAATATAAGTATCATTCAAGCATGGATCATTTTGTTTCATATCTCTCTGATCTTAGATCTAAAAAGGGCTGTTATTTACATCTACATAATTAATAAAGCCTTATTAATTTAAAAATAATTTATTATTAACAACATATTAATCAGAGAGAAAAGTAATTCATCTCTGCTGCCCACTTGAGTAACACATACAGCATAAAATAGAGATACTTGCACTCCTAGTGCAAATAAACTACTAATGTTCCTAAACCCTGGTGGTAATCTTCATATGCCAAGATATTATTCCTATAGCTCTTGAATTTTTTGTTTCTTGTTTGTTGTTTTTGTTGGAGTATGTGTGTGTTTTATCTTGTTTATTTTGTTTTAGTAACTTAGTGTTTTGGCATGCAGTTATGAGAATTGTTACTCAAAATAATGTAGCAGGTTGAATTTAAATGGTTAAGAGAGTTTCTAATAGATTCTATAACTTTCAAAATAGTATAGGTAAATATTCTTTTTTTGTTGTTGTTAAATAGAGAAAGCTAGCAACAAGCTAGCTTTCCCAAACATGTTTTTAGGAATACTGTTATCTTGTAATAAATTAATAGTTATTCTAGAATTTTTGAAAAAGAATTCTGTGTTCAGCTACACCAGGAAAAAATAGTTAGATGTGGTTTAACAAATTTTTTGTTTGTGATGGTTATACTGTACTTCTCATATCTCTTACTCTGCTAATGTACCTCATGAATATCCAAGAGACTTTATAGTGCACAGTATCTTTTAATTTGAAGTGACCACAGTTCTCTCCCTTTTTTCCTCTGCAGGGAACTCTCACCAACAATAATAATATTGCTAATAATAGTAACAGTAGAACTGTCAATAATAGTAATAATAATATTAGTATAATAGTAATACATTTACTTCTGCATTTTTTACTTTTTTAAAATACGTTTTTATTGCTTTCAGAGAGGAAGGGAGAGGGAGAGAGAGACAGAAATATCAATAAGAGAATCATTGATCGGCTGCCTCCTGCACGCCCCACATGGGGCATATACCCAGACCAGAATTGAACTAGGACCTCCTGGTTCATAGGTCTATATTCAACTACTGAGCCAGCTGGCCAGGCAACTTCTGGCATTATTCTAAGTACTTTACCTGTATTAATTTATTTAGTCCTCATAGTGCTGTGAGTTAGGTATATTATTAGTTCCATTATACAGAAGACAAACTGAGACACAAAGAATGGTCATCAGCTAAAGAGATATAGAGCTGGGATTTAAATCAAGTCTTTTGGGCTCTTGAGTTTATGTTTCTACCCACCTGTCTTACTAATGTCTTACGGACAGTGGAGTTTTGCAAAACATAGTTTGGAAATGGCTTGTCCTCTGGTCAAAGAAATAACAATTATATTTTAATTACTCTCCACTCTTAAAACTCCACATGTGTTACAAAAGTTGAGAAGTATGTCACTAGACCAGTATCACACTCTTTATTTTACAGTATCTGTAAGGTATAGAACTTTGTGGCAAAGTGAAATAGTAAATGGAGGATTCTTAACCTAGGGTTCATGGACTCTTAAGAAATGCTTGAATGGACTTGAGGATCTAGGAACCTCTTGAAATTATTTGTGACATTTTATGGGTATGTGTATTTTTCCATAAGGAAAGGGTTCATGATTTTCATTGTATAGTTAACCATTCAACAATTTGGGGTTTTGGGGTGCCATCCCCACGTGCAGCTGAAAATTCACATGTATCTTTTGACTTCCCCAAAACTTAAACTACTAATAGCCTACTGTTGACCAGAATCTTTACTAATAACATAAAGTCAATTAACACATATTATCTATCTATCTATCTATCTATCTATCTATCTATCTATCTATACATCTATACATATATATGTGTGATATACTGTATTCTTACAAAAGTAAGCTAGAGAAAAGAAATGCTATTAAGGGAAATCACAGGGAAAAATACATTTACAGTATTTATTGAAAAAAATCCACGCAGAAACCTTCTTTGTTTATTAGATGGAATGCTGCCTGATTTATGAATCATTCAATGAAGCCAAGTAGATCTTTAAATTTAAAACAAATGAAAAAAATCCTCATATAGGTGGACCCATGCAATGCAAAGCTATGTTGTTCACCTGTCAGTAGTATTATCAAATGAGCACATCTTCCCAAATTGTTCAGTGTCACTCATCTAGATGCTTAAAAGTTAAAATTATATTTAGTTCTTTCTAATGTAGGTAACAGGTACTTAAGATGCTTTTAAAAGTATTTTCTTCTGATATATGTTACTGTAAAGTACACTAGTAGCCATTATCTAATATACCCTGTCACTAACAACACTTGTTACTCTTGAGAAAAACAGATATATTAGGAAACATTTTAGTGTTCAGATAGAAACATCATGTTATTTATATTAAAATCTCGGCTTTAAATACAGATTTTCTTTTGGAGGTTTTACTAAATGGAAAAATTTTGTCTTACGGCTATCTTGTCTTTTAGGACCCAATCCTGGAAGAAAAGATGGAATATTTTCAGAGTCAACTTTTAATTCACCACAGGGTGTAGCCATAATGAACAATATCATATATGTGGCAGATACTGAAAACCACCTTATAAGAAAGGTAATTTTCCATTTTAAATAGTTTTATACTTCCAATCAGAAAAACGGATATTTACTTGCTACATTAAATATTTAGAGTGAGAAGGAGATGCTTAAATACCTCAAATCATTCATATTCAGCTGTTTTCACAGTGCTGCTTTAGTTTTATTCTTCGGTATCTTGTTTTTCTGGGTGTCAGCGTATAGTTGTCTCAGAAGATAAATCTTCAGTCAAGTCCCCTTTTTTGACGTTTGTTTCAAAGTCTCATGCCTAATCACCCCAAAGCTCCTCGTTTTGAGATATTTTCCTAACCACTGTATTCAAAGTGGTGCTTTGTCCTTTTAAAAGTTAAATTTTCTGAAACCTAGAAAAAAAATCATACCACTTCCTGCCTTCATCTTTTTTGCTTTGCCTACAAATACATATCAGTCAATAAGTCTTAAAAGGTGTTTCATATCTGAATAAAAGTAAAGAATCTTGTTTTTAAAAAATGAGTTAATCATAAAGGTAAAAAATAGTCTTCTGATCATTTATTCCAGCTCCCTAGAGGTAACCAACCATTTTTAAATTTTGTGTCTTTTCAGAATTTCCTACTCACAAATAAATTTATAATAAAAAGACTGACTCTAGACTAGTTGTCGCCAACCTTTCAGACCTCCCAGACCAACAGTGGTCCGCGGGCCACTGTTTGGTGACCGCTGCTCTAGACAATCTTTTTTTAAACAAATGGTGAAATCCTATTGTACTTACATAATCTTCTGGAGTCTTTTTAACTTATTTATCTATATTAGTCACATGAATGATATGATTGCATCATACCCATTGTAGAAGTCATTTTAAACATTCCTTATTGATGAAGATTTTGGCTATAAATCAGTGATCTTTAGTAGGTTGCTGTCTTTTTCTAAAGTCTACTAAGTTGATCTAATCCATCATGCCTAAACATACTGTTTCAGATACTTCCTTGATTTTCTTGCTGTTTCTTTGTCTATTGATATCTATGCCCATTTATTTGACAATATTATCACCTATTATACATATAATAAAAAAAACATGTGTAGAACATATAATATCTACTGTAATGAAAATCTCCATGAGGTCATGAAATTTCATTTCCTTACCTCTGAAATCCTAAGCACCTGGAGCAGGGCCTGGCCCGCGGCAGTTGTTCAATAGATATTTGTTGAATGAATTTCTGAGCAAAGAACGTCTAATGATGCATTTTCTAAAGTGCGTATTTCTCTTAATATGAAAAGGTGTTCCATGAAAAAAGAATTTTATGGGTTTATAAAATAAAGCAGATTTAGGTTTTTTTTTCAAGTCTTGGAGACTGTCTTTTTAGAGACTTTAATATGCTAATGTATTGTGAATACATTGCTGGGGGTATATGTGTGTAGTATTTCCAAACTTACTTGATCAAGGATTACTTTTTAGACAGAATTTTTCATAGGTCTAATGATTTCATAGTATATACTTTGGGAAAAAAGTGGTTTTCTGTTGTTACTAAGTCCTTAAAGTCAGTTTTTAGCAATATCTTTTGGGATTGTATTCTTCTTTAATTTATCATATCATAGATATCTAACAGGGTATTAAAGTAGTAAAATATTTACCCTGCAATATTCAGTGGATACTTGTCCTTTTTTAATTGTCCATTTTATCTCCTGATTTAGAACCCACAGGTTTTGAAGTATTGACTGTATTTCAAATACTTTTTAAGTAGCATAATCACATATTTAGGATACCCTAAGTTATTTTTATATTATATGGCTTAGTTTAGCATAGGATGTAAAGTGGAATTATTATTTCTTCCTCTCTTTTAAAGAATGTTTATTATATTTTACTTTTGTTTAAACCTCATTAACAGAGGATTGGTCATAATCTTACATTGACAGCTCACATTTTTCAGTGCAAACCTATCTCTTGTTCAGAATATTATTTATTAATTTATAAATTCCTCTTTATCCCCATTCCCATTTCCCCTGTATAAACACACCTGCAGGCAGTCATTCTATATTCAACTCATATATTTTTATTTGCATCTGATCTTGTAGAACATGTAGTGTTTTGTGTGCTTGTTTTTTAATAACTTTATTATGATACTAGAGGCCCGGTGCTGGCCTGCCCTGATTGGGGACGATCGGGACCAGGCCAGCCAGGGGACAGGCCGTGGGAGGTTGCCTGGCCGCCCTGCCCCCGATCAGGGATGCGGGGGTGATCGGGTCTGGGGGGAGGGGCTGCAGGAGGTTGGCCAGCTGGCCCCGCCCCTGATTGGGGGGCTGATCGGGGGCCAGGCCAGCCATGGGGAGGGGTTGACCAGGGACCGGGCCAGCCGGGGGATCGGGCTAGTTGGCTGGCCGCAGTGCACCTCATAGTGACCCGTCGTTCCAGTCTTTCAGGTTGCTTGGCTTTTATAAATGTAGATAGATATTTTATATAGCATTAAATTCCAAATATATAGTTTAAGAATTTTTAGTAAATATAACAAGTTGTGCAGCCATAACCATAAATCAGTTTTAGAATATTTTCATCCTCTCAGTAAGAATGCTCATGACTTTTACAGTTAATCTTCACTCCCACCCACAGCACTAATCTTTATAGAGATAGAAAGTCTCTTGAACATTTCATATAGAGTCATACAATATATGGTCTTTGTGTCTTGCTTCTTTTATTCTGTGTAATGTTTTTGAGGTTCACATATAGTTCATTCCTTTGCATTGCTGAATAGCATTCCATTGTATGCATATTCCACATTACGTCTGTCCATTCACCAGCTGGTGGGCAATTAAGGTATTTCTAATTTTTTGCTATTATGGATAAATAATTGATATGTAAGTTTTGTGTGGACATACATTTTTATTTTTCTTGGATCAATATTTAAGTACTCAAATTGTTGAGTCATGTAATTATTCATACCTGGATAGTTCTATTTCTGGACTTTGAGATCTATTCCATTGATCTACACCACACTGTTTTGATTGCTATAACTTTTAATTAATTTTAAAATCAGTGAAGTACAGCTCTTCTCAGAGTCTTCTTTTTCAACATTGTTTTGGCTGTTCTGGGTCGCTTACAATTCCCTATGAATTTTAGGATCAGCATATCCATTTCTGCAAAAACTTTTGTTTCTTATATAAATAACTAGAGCCCTGGTGCACGAAATTCATGCATGGGTGGGTTCCTCAGCCCGGCCTGCATTCTCTTGCAGTCCAGGACCCCTCACTCTTTACCACCCGCCTGCTCGCTGCTCCTTAGCGCTTGGCTCGCTGCTCCTTACCGCTTGGCTCGCTGCTCCTTAGTGCTGTCCTTATCACTCGGCTCGCTGCTCCTTAGTGCTGCCGCGGAGGCCAGACAGGCTCCCGCTACCACCGCTGTGCTCACCAGCCGTGAGCCCAGCTTCCCGTGGGAGCACACTGACCACCAGGGGGCAGCTCCTGCATTGAGCATCTGCCCCGTGGTGGTCAGTGTGCATCATAGGGAACCGGTCATTCTGGTCATTCCACTGTAAAGGTCGCTTAGGCTTTTGTTATATAGACTAGAGGCTCAGCGCACCAAATGGTGCGTGGGTAGGGTCTCTAGGCCTAACCTATGATCAGGGCCATCTTCCGCTCACTTGCCAGTCCCCAGTTCCACCCCGCTGCTGCCCACACTGGTTCTCCGTGGTTCCCGTTCGCCATCCAGCAATCGGAGCCTGCGGGCCCGGGGGAGGGATCAAGAGGTCTGCCTTCCACCTGCTTGACAGTCCCCAGTCCTGCCCTGCCGCCGCCGCCCACCCCAGTTCCCCATGGTTCCCCGTTCACCATCCAGCAATTGGAGCCTGCAGGCTGCGGGGAGGGACAAAGAGGTGGTCAATGCACCTCATAGCAACTAGTCGTTCGGTCGTTCTGGTCGTTACGCTGGTATGGTCGCTGGCCTTTTATTATATAGGATTATGATGTCTGCAAAAAACAAATGGCAGGTTTATATTTTCCTTTCTTATTTATACACATCTTGTTTTATTATATTGCTGGATAGAACCTCAGTTGCTGTTGAGCATTAGCAGTGATTGTGTATTTTGTCATCCTCATATTCTTAAAGAGAATGCATGTCAATTTTTTCCAAAATTTAGTATCTTCTGTAACTTTGGGAAAAAAATATTTATGAAGAAATTTTATATTCTTAGTTACTTGGAATTATTTTATTATGTAATTTTATGAAGTATATGTTCTATATTTATTGAAATAATTAGGTAATATTTTGCCCTCAGTGTTTTGATATAATGAATTATATTAATATATTTTTTTAATGTTAAACCATCTTTGTATTCCTGGGTTAAACCTTACCTAATGATCAATTTTTTAAAAGTCAAGTTGGATTTGATTATCCCAAATTATATTTAATCCTTAAAAATTCATGTTCATAAATTAAATGGTTCTATATTTTTTTTGTACTGTTGTAACCCAGTTTTGGAATCAAGGTCACACTAAACTCATTAAATGAGCTAGTTAGTTTTTGTTTTGTTTTTTTAACTTTTGGAATAATTTGTCTAATGTAAAAATTAATGGTTTTGAACATTCATTAAAAAACCTCAGTAACAGCCAAAACCGGTTTGGCTCAGTGGATAGAGCATCAGCCTGTGGCATGTACCTGGATTGCGGGCACATCCCCGGTGGGGGATGTGCAGGAGGCAGCTGATCGATGTTTCTCTCTCATTGATGTTTCTGACTCTCTATCTCTCTCCCTTCCTCTCTGTAAAAAATCAATAAAATATATTTTTAAAAAAACAAACAAAAAAACCCCTCAGTAACATCGCCTGGACCAGGGGCTTTTTGCAAGAGGAATTCTTTGATTGTCATGTCAATTTCTAAGATACATTTCTTAGATCAAATATTGTTTCAAGGACCTATCCCTAGCTGCCTATTGCATTTTTTCAGATTTACTAGTAGTTCAGTAAAAAATATAGATAAGGTTACATTAATAATATTCTTTACAATTTTGAGAGATTATAAAAATAATGCAAGAGGATATTGCTAAAATAAATCTATTTCATCGTAGTAAAGGAATAAAAGACAATAATCATTACTATATTTATTCAGAAAAACATTTTAAAAGATTTAATACCTATTTTTTTAATATATATTTTAATTGATTTCAGAGAGGAAGAGAGAGAGAGAAACACCAGTGATGAGAGAGAATCATTGATCGGCTGCCTCCTGCATGCCCCCCAACTAGGGATCAAGCGGGCAACCCCGGGCATGTGCCCTGATCAGGAATTGAACAGTCACCTCCTGATTCACAGATAGACGCTCAACCACTGAGCACACCAGCTGGGCAATGTAATACCTATTAATGATAAAACTAGTAAACTTGAAAAGGAAATAAACATAGTGAATATAATCAAAGGGCATTTACAAAATGGCTTTATAGCTACACTTAATGCAAAATATTGAATGCTTTCCTTCCATGATTGGGAACAAGGCAAGGATTCCCACTCTCGCCACACCTATTAAATATTATACTGAAAGTACTAGCCATTGTAGTAAGGCAACAAAGAGAGACAAAAGGCATATAGGAAGAAGAACTGTCTTTATTTGCCAGTAGCATGTGATCTATAATAATAAAAATGTAATATGCTGATTAGACCGGACGACCTTCCAGACGAAGCTGGGGCTGTGAGGGAAGCCCGGGTCCCGGGTGCTGGAGGGAAGCCAGTGCTGGCAGCCAGGGGAAGGAAGGCCTACTCTTGCATGAGTTTTTTTTCTTTCTTGATTAAGGTATTACATATGTGTCCTTACCCTCCAATGCCCCCCCTCCCCACTCATGTCCTCACCCCCCCTGGTGTCTGTGTTCATTGGTTAGGCTTAAATGAATGCATATAATTCCTTTGGTTGATCTCTCCCCCTCACCCCCACCCTCCCCTACCTTCCCTCTGAGGTTTGATGGTCGAGTGAGATCTTGCATGAATTTCGTGCATTGGGCCTCTAGTATACATAGACAATTTTAAGAAATCTATGAAAAAGCTACTTGCACTAATAAGAGAATTTAGGAATGTTGCAGAATACAAAGTCAATAAAAAAAAGATCCACTGTGTTTATATATTAATAACAGTTAATTGGGAATTAAAATTTTAAAATTCTATTTACGGTAGCAATAAAAACAAAGTACTTAGAATAAATTTAACAAAATACACGCAAGACTTGTGTACTCCAAATTATAAAACATTGCTAAGAAAAATTAATCCAGTATTGGATTGGAAGTTTCAATATTAAGATGTCAGTTCTCTCCAAATTGACCTTTAAACTTAGTGCAATCCCAGTCAAAACTCCATCAGATTTTTTTGAAGGTATTAAGTGGATTCCAGAATTTACATGGAAATGCAAAATAAAGAATTTATTATATCTGAAATTTTGAAAATGAACAAAGTTAAAAGACTTATAGTACCTGATTTCAAGACTGACTTAATGTTACGCTGATCAAGACTGTGATACTTTGTTAATATATAGATCAATAAAAAGAATAAAGCACCTAGAAGAAACGTCATATCAAATACAGTTATGATTTCCCAAAAGCATCAAAGCAGTCAAGGGAGAAAGGAAAGTCATTTTAGCAAATTGTGCTTGAACAACTAGATACCCATGTGGGGGATAAAAAGAAACACATTACCTCGCACGTTGTATACAAATAAACTCGAGATGCATCACACACCTAAATGTAAATGCTAAAAATGTAAAGCTTTTAGATGAAAACGTTATCTTCATGACTTAAAGGTGGGCAAAGGTTTCCAAAGACAGGACACAAACACAATCATAAAAGAAAAAAATGATAAAATCAAATTTATCAAAAATTAAAATTTCTGCTCATTAAAATTTACTGTTAAAAAGACAAGCCACAAACTGTCAAAAAATAACCTTAAAAACTTACAAAACATATTTATGAAGGGATTAGTATCCATGAAATATATAAAGGTTCCTACAACTAAAAATGAAAAGACAGCCCATTAAAAAGGGTCAAAGATTTGATCAGACATTTTTTTTCAAAAGAAGGTATAAGAATGACCTTGTCACTTACATTTCTTTTTCAACTCAGGATGTTGATCACTTTTTTATCCACTTTATATCCACTATAATGGTTTAAATTTAAAAGACTGACAACATTATATATTGGGAACTCCCATACATTGTTGGTGGGTAGATTGATAGCTGTATAAAATATGTAATAAAGCAAGTAAGTGAAATGGTGATAATAAGTGGTGTGTATATAGATCTTTGCTGCAAGATTCTTTTAACTTTTTTCTAGTTTGAAAATGTTCATGGTAAAGTGTTGGTGGAAGGGTCTCAAGAGATGAAACCGGAGCTTTTTCCCCCCAGTAGAATGCATTAGTTTTCCAATGTATACAGCAGAGGCAATATAATGTAGTAGAGCTAGCACTGCCTGTATTCAAACCCCAGATCCTGGACTTACTAGCTATAGGATCTTGAGAAAGTTACATAATGATCTGTGCAATAATGATAATCATAGTCATTATGAGGATGAATGGATGGATGACACCTGGATCAGTAGCTGGCATATATTAAGCGGCATATGTGTCATTTAGTAGCCAAGCATAACTGAAATACATTTAATTTCAAGAAATGTGAATTTTTTAGATTTTGCTTTAAAATTTCACTTTCTTTTAAAATATTTTATAGTTAAAAGAAGATCCACACCATTTCTGGTAGAGGCATGATGAGATGAGGGGGGCAGGAGGGAAGTGGGGGCATGGACAGGTGAGGAAATGAAAAGGACTGAGTTTTGTGCTTTTGAATAACAAGATCACCCTATGCTTAATTAAACCTTTTTTAAGCTTTTAAATTTTTATAAGATAATAGACTTTATTTTTTAGAGCAGTTTTGGATTCATAGCAAAATTGAACATAAAACACAGTTTCTTTCCCCCATCCCTGAAAGACTCCCTCACCATCAACCATTCCACACCAGTGTGATCCATTTGTTACACTTATCGAACCTGCACGTCCTTATCATGCAGAGACCAGCGTTTATATTAGGGTTTACTCTTGGTTGGCACATTATGTAGGTTTGGACAAATGCACCATGACGTGTATCCATTGATCATTGTAGCATCAAACAGTATAGTTTCACTGCCATAAAAATCCTGTGTCCCGCTTATTCATCTCATCCTTCTTTCCCCCTAATTCCCAAGGATTTATACTGTTTTGTTTTTAAAGAAAGTATTTGTATTGCTAATACCTTCTATCTGTTTTTATTAAAAATCTTCATGTACAAAAGACAATAAAAGGTAACATGCATTGCATACAACATCTTCTTTTCTGTAGATTGACCTAGAAACTGAGACGGTGAGCACTGTAGCTGGCATTGGTATTCAAGGTACAGATAAAGAAGGTGGAGCTAAAGGAGAGCAACAGCCCATTAGTTCCCCATGGGATGTAATTTTGGGATCATCAGGTATGTAAACTTCTAATACTTAATATAAGTAAACATTGTTTCATAAATGTAAGATTTTAAAAAGATGCTGGGGACATTCATTTGGATTAATTCTATTGCTAGTAATTTTATACTTTCATGCCTGTGTCTTGAGATTTATTGTATAAAAGCAAAGCCAGCAGTAATGTATACAAGATGGAATATATTTTATTTAACTTGTAACATTACAATTATGTTTTATGCACAAGATAGTGTATATATTATTCTGAATTAATGTTAAAGAATCTCAGTTTAGCTGCAGCTTTCAATTAATGTAGCTCTGAATATTCTTAAATTAGGATTAGTTTCAGAACTTCAAACAACTATTCATGAACTATACCATTTAACAATGTCCTTTTTTTTTCTAGTTTGAAAAAAATTAAAAAGTGATAGTTGCTTTTTTTAGATTATTAAAATTTGTATTGAACCATGATAGCTTCTTTTGAGCAATTTGAAAAAAACACTTTTGCCCTACTGTGTTATGTAGGTATTAATAATGAATAAGATTGACATTATCTTTACAATCTTTGTTACCTACATTAATTGACTATAAGATGACCCAGGAGCATAAGTCCTTATTTCTCATTGGCACTCAGTGATACAGGGATGGTTATCTACATATCTACAACCAGAGTAATGAATAAAAGTAAGTTAGTAGAATACACTGAAAATAGAATTTGGGACTAAATGGTTTGGATGGTCGTAATATATTTATAGAGTGAACTAGAGGCCTGGTGCATGAAATTTGAGCACTGGGTGTGGGGGGAGGGGGTCCTCAGCCTGGCCTGTGCCCTCTTGCAGTCCAGGAGCCCTTGGGGGATGTCCAGCTGATGACTTAGGTCTGCTCCTCGCCAGGCATAAGCCCGGCTCAGGGCTTCTAGCTGAGCGGCGCTCCGCCTGCGTTGAGCGTCTGCCCCTGGTGGTCAGTGCACATCATAGCAATTGGTCATTCCACCATTTGGTCCATTTGCATATTAGCCTTTTATTATATAGGATAAACATCAGTTTAGTTGAATGGCTTTACATCTGAGATAATTTTTTATCATGATGCCAATTTGCTTATAATTCAAAGACCTTGATTTTTTTTCATTTGATTAACTTTTTATAGAGTTTTTAATATTCATAAAATAACTGAATGAACTTTTGGTACTACCTGTACTTAATATGTATAACTTGGAGATTTTGCACAAGTTCTTTTTGAGATTTTCCTTTTTGTAATTCTGTGCCACAGTAATCATAGTGGGGAGGGAATTGGGGTGATAGAGGGAGCAGTATGTCCCAGGTGCAATCAATAAGAACATAGATGATCTATATATATATAAAAGCCTAAGCAACCAAACAACCGGTTGACTGGTTGCTATGACACGAACTGACCACCAGGGGGCAGACGCTTACTATGTCATATTTGCTTACCTACTGTAATTAAAGCAAGACACATAACTAAGCTCAAAGTTATGGGGCAGGGATAGACACCTTGCATACAATGAGGCCATGTCAAGGGTGTGGGTATCTAATAATATTACAGAGGAGTAAAGAATTGAGACCAGTGATTCAATCTGTCACATATATCAGACTTTATAGGGCTTATAAACAGGATGTACTTTATTGGATGCTTTACTAAGTTGGATTTATTTAATGACCAAGGAGTGCTTAAATATTTTGCTAGGCTAAAAGTTTTTCAGGCATACTTTATAGCATGGAATTTCTGGTTGGTTGTCTTGTATTGAGAATACACCCAAAATGCTTTCCAAGGAAAATCTTGGCTCTATTGACAAGTACTCCCTCAGGTTCCAGCTGGAGTGACATGCAATCTGAGGATTGTGTCATTACTAAGCTCAGTTTTCAGTAAAGGAAGTGAGTCCTACCTTACTTAGCTCAACAGGTTTTTATAAGCATGTGGTTCTTCATTTGACTTACAGCTTAAAATAGCTTCACTCAGGTACTTGGCAAGAGGCATATTCTTGAATACACTTAAGTTCGACACCTTCTAAATTCTAGGCCAAGAGAAAAAGGTTCCCAAGCACTGTATGAAGGACTTGTAATCACAATGACTACTCTAGCCTGAGAGCTTTTAACCTTGAGTCATATACCCAAGGCATTACTGGTTAGGCTTTGTAAGGTACTTAAACTTCACAGAAATTATTTTCAAGTTTTGAGGGGATTGGTCAGATTCTCATCAGAGTTTCAAAGTGGTATGTTACCCAAAAACATTTTAAGAGTCACTAATTTAAATTACTCTAAGATCTAATCCTGGATTAATGTATTGTCAGAGTATGGGAAATTAGATCATAGAATATTTCTTACATTTGTTTTTACTAAACTACTTTTGGCAACATGTCATTCATTAAAAAAATATATCAACATAAAGTCACATTCATTTATATTTTTATGTTTGTACTAGAGGCCCAGTGCATGAAATTTGTGCACTGGGGGACGGGGGTGGGGGGAGGTGTCCCTCAGTCCAGCCTTCACTCTTTACAATCTGGGACCCCTCGGGGTATGTCCGACTGCCCACAGGGATCAGGCCTAAACCGGCAGTTGGACATCCCTCTCACAATTCAGGACTGCTGGCTCCTTAAAGTACACAGGCTGATGCTCTATCCACTGAGCCAAACCAGCTAGGGCTACGTTTCTTTATTGATTCTTCCCAAAATATCCAACTTTATTTTTATAGAAACAACTTGCTTTTTGCATTCAGATTGAATTGGTTCATATAAATTTAAATTACATAATTGTACACCTACTTGAACAGATTTTGAATTAAAATTTGAAGGGGATTGTGGCTGTCAAAAATTGTTCTTGTAAATATTTGAGTTTTAAAAATATTTTAATAATTTTATAAAATGTTTTGGAAATGATACCATAGTTAAGAATTTGAGAGTGGAATTATCAGGAATAAACATAATGAAAAATAGGTTAGGTATTGTGATATGTTCATACATTAGGCTGTTCTTCAGTGCAAATAATGAATCATAGATACACCTAGCTGCATGGACAAGTATCAGAAGGAATCTGTTGAGTGAAAAAAGCTACAAAAGAGCCTACAGTATATTTTTTACAGAAGGTTTAGTAGTAAGCAAGACTAATTATATCTTCAGAGATCAATCCAGACTTGGTAAAACTGAAAAATAAGAAAGTGAAAAAAAATTTTTTAGATCGGTGGTTCCTTCTGGAAAGAGGAGGGGTTATAGTCATAAAAGGATGCATAAATGTTCTTTCTTGAGCTAGGTGGTATGCATATTTAATTAAAAATTAAACCTTACAAAGGAGCAAAATAGATTAGGTAAATAAAATGAAAAATAACAAGGACCAATACATAGTTAAATATATATACCCTATCAACTCAGTTAATAAATAATGGGACTTGAAATACCCATTATAATATGTAAATGTGTTTGTGTATTTTAATTCTGAATACTTAACCTAATTATGCCATTACAGTGATAAAAGCATTATCATTCTAAATATGGTCAGAACTACACAGTGTAAGAAAAGTAATTACTAGGTACAATAAATTCATTTTCATCAGGAACTATGCCACGTTTCTAAAATGCATGACTTCACTCTTGCCAGACAATAACTTGAGAGATTTTTCATCCTAAAGTTCAAAACCCCACTAGTCACTAAGTAGACTTTACCTGATTTAGAGTCATTTATAGAAAGGATAACATGCCCGAATCCCATTAACCTTTCTTGGCCTTTTAATCAGTATTTTCCCTAGATAGAAGTTTAGCTGTTCTTATACAACCTTTTATGATCAAAATTTAACTATTTAGTATGTTAGTTTTATAATCTACAGTGTTGGTACTTAAGTGCTTAGATAATATGGTTCTTGGAGTTTTGTTAATATGCTATAAAATACTGTACAATACATTTATCCTTTAAAAATAATCAGATGATATAGAATTTTTGAGGAATAAATTTTATACAGTGTAACTGGCGAGTGAAAAAAGCAAGTTACAAAAGCTTAAACTAAAAGCAGTTGTATTTATAGGTCTACAATTTGAGAGATGATTCTTGTACTGTCTTATCACATTGAATTGTGTTTGCAAGGTTTTTTAAGTCCAATTAATGAGGTATAATTTACAGAAAGTAATATTCACCCTTGTCAGGTATGAGTTATATGACTTTTGACAAACATATTTAGTCTTATAACTATTATTGCGATCAAGATACAGAATATTTCCATCACCCCAGAAAATTCTCTCATGACCCTTTGCTCAGTCTTCCTCCCATCACCTCCAACACCCTCTCCAACCATTGGCAACAGTGCATTTCTTATGCCTGGTTATTTCATTCTGTACAATGCTTTTGAGATTCATCCTGTTGTTGCTGGTATCAATAGTTGGTTCTTTTTTTTATTGTTGAGTAGTATTTCATTGTTTGGCTGTGCCACAGTTTATTCATCAGTTGACAAACATTCCAGATGCCTCTAGTCTACAGCAATTATTAAAGCCTGTATAAACACATGTGTATAGGTTTTTATGTGGACATAAGTATTTATTTCTCTTTGGAAAACGTTTAGGAATGAAATTTCTGGGCCATATGATAAATGTGTAATTTTATAAGAAACTGCCAAAGTGCTTTCCAAAGTGGCTCTTTTCTTAACAGTCCCGAAAGTCCTGGATTAATATTGCTTCTGCCTAAAGAACTTCCTTTAACATTTCTTGTAGCAGATGGCTGCTGCCAATGATTTCTGTTGACCCTTTTTAGGGGAAGGGGAGTGTCTGGAAAAGTATTCAGCCTTCATTTTTGGAAGATATTTTTACTCCATATATGTCTGGGTTGACTTTCTTTTTTCCTTTGATACTTTAAAGATGTCATTTGATTGTCTTTTAGCTTACATAGTATTAAATAAGAGATCTGATTTATTTCTTTACCTAGTTCCTTTGTGTATAAAATGTGTACCTTTGCCCGGCCCTCATGGCTCAGTGGTTGAGCATCAACCTATGCACCAGGCAGTCATGGTTCGAATCCTAATCAGGGCACATGCCCAGGTTGCGGGCTTGACCCCCACAGTGTGTGTGGGGGGAGGTGCAGGAGGCAGCCGTTCAATGATTCTCTTTCATCATTAATGTTTCTTTCAACCTCTCCCTTCCTCTCTGAAATCAATAAAAATATATTAAAAAATAAATATAACAAAATCAAGTGTATGCTTTTGTTCTGGCCACCTTCAAGATTTTCTCTTTGGTTTTCAGCAGTTTGACTGATATGTCTAGGAGTTATCCTGTTAGAATTCTTGAGTCTATGATGTGGTATGATGTCCTTAATTATCTGTGAAAAAAACCTCACCCATATCTCTTTAAATATTTTTTTCTGCTCCTTTCTCCTCTTTCTGGGATTTCAGTTACTCATATATTAGACTCTTGATATTATACCCAGCACTTTTTACATACTGTGCTCTTTTTATTTTACCCTTTTATTCTCTTTGTGTTTTAGTGTGAATAATTTTTATTGATTTATCATTAGGGTCATTGTTTCCTCAACTGTGTCTAGTCTGTTGATGAGATTGTTGAAGGAATTTTTCATCTGATATTTTTATAGGATTTCCATATTACTATTTCTTAGATTCCATCTATGCTGAAATTTTTTACAAATTTAGGTAGGCCACCTTTTTCTCTAGATTCTCTAACATAGTAGCATAGTAATTTCAAAGTCCATGTTATGTAGTTCCAGATTTCAGGTAATCTTTCAGTCTGTTACTGTTGATTGCTTTGTTTCTTGAAAATGTGTGGGGTTTGTTTTTTGGTTTTGATGAGGGCTGAGTATGTGTTTATTTGGGTGAGGGTTTGTTTTTCTTTGTGGGGGTGGGGAGGCAGGGACAGGGAGGAGGGGTGCTGCTTACTTTATGTTTGTCTTTTCAATTTTAACTAAATTCCAGTCATCTTGTGTGGAATTAGAGGGGCTGAGAGCAATAGTATTTATCCAATTATTATGGGAGGTTGAGTCAATGTAGTCAGAAGCTGGGCTGGGTCTGGGTGTTATTATTGCTGTGAGTTCTGTCAGTTCACCATAGCTTTTGAATCCCTTTAGCTGTGGGCTGGTGTTGCCTCAGCATGGGGACCAAGAGGCTGGGGTTGGGGGGTCCCACCTCGGCTTTCAGTCATCCTGTACAGCTGAACCACAGTGGTTCTCTTTCAGTCTGGCAGCTGCATGACAGGTGACCTGTTGCTGTTTGTCATTCTCTAAGGGAGTGTTCTCTGTTGTTCTGAACAGTCTCAGTCTTAGGACCCCTGTACAGTGCCTGTGGTCCATGAAAGGAAATGGGAGCTTTTTTTTTTTCTTCTTCATTGTTTCTGTTCCCTTTCTCTCTGGCAGCCAAACTCTGCCTTTAATCGGTGAGTGGTTTTGAAGAGTTTCCTCCTTCCCCTCCAGCAGTGAGGAACCCCTGCTTGGTGTCAGTATGGAGTCTTTGACCAAAGACAATTTCCTGCCCTTCTCTCAGAGATGAAGAGATGTTTTTCTTCTGCCCTCTTCCAGTCCTCAAATTAGTCTTTTCCTGTGCCCAGGGCATTGTCGCTTTTTCCTAGTGGCTTAAGGCTTTGCTTCATAGGAGGTTTAGAGACTATGGAGAAAAACTATTTACACTAATGGATGGTTTCACAGATGCTATTATGAGGGTTCTAGTCAGTGGACTTTATTTTGATCATAGTTACTTAAAATAACAGAATATTTAAAAGCTGGATTGAAGGTGTTTTTTCATTTCTATATTTCATTTGCCGATTTTATTTCTGCTTTCTGAAACTATTTCAGTAATCCTTATTGATGATTATGAGGGGTTTTGACTTTCCAAAACCTTTTTAGCTTTTGGCATTATCCTTTTTTATTTTTAATTTGTGACTGTTGAAAGTCAGTGGTACTAAGTGTGCTCTTAACTTAAAATGGAAATGTTCGTAATTGTTAGAAGGAACAAAGTAATACCCTACTCAGTGATACAACTATGTGCTTTAGATTTTAAAAACCAGGATGAACGGCATAAATTTTTTAAAATTTATCTTTATTGTTTTACAATAAAGTATTACAGATGTTCCCTTTTTTCTCCCTATTTACCTCCTCTTTATTGTTACAAGTATTATACATGTCCCCCTTTTTCCCCATTGACCTCCTCCACACTGCACCCATTCTCCCCACTACCAGGCCTTTACAACTATTGTGTCTGTGTCTGGGTTATGCATATATGCATATAACTTAGTGATACAGTCATGTGCTTTAGATTTTTAAATCCAGGATAAACAGTATAAATTGTTCAAATGACTCTCGTTAGTTTGATAGACATTATAAATACCAGACTACCTTTTTTTTTTTTAATTCTCATTTTATTTGTAAAAACTCTTCAGTCCTCAGAGAAATGATCAGGCAGAGTAAAAACTTGTAGCATGCTGGTTATGAGCATGGACCCTGGAGCCAGTTTTACATCTTAGTGTGGTCGTGTGACTTTGACAAGCTACTAGACTCTTTATGCCTCAATTCCCTCATCTAAATTGAAGATGCTAATAGTACCTATCTCAAAGGCTTATTGTGAGAATTATGAGAATATATGGAAAGCACTTAGAACAGTGCTTGTACAAAGAAATGATTAATATATCAATGTTATTTTCATTGTTTGCTATAAGAAATGGAGTCATTTCATAAAAGTCACAAAGAGATGTTACTAAGCTGAACCAAATCAAAGATGGGAAGGCGAGGGACTGGAAAAATATACTTGTAAAAGATTACTCAGTCAGAGGCCATAGGGAGGGGAGGGCATAAGGAGTGAAGCTAAAGTAGAAAGCCATGGTTAAGTTTGATTAGATGGCTATTTGTGATCACACGTGATACTGCACTTGGGTACTTAAAGCCAGAGCTAAATCCATGGGGCAGAGGCAAAAGGGAAGAAGAAAACAGGCCACAGAAGAACTGGCCAGAGAGCATGGGCCGCCTTCTGTATCTCTTCATTCTGATCAGAACACTGCTGATTTGTAATCAACTTCCTAATGGATTATTCCAGGTTTAGCTGTGTGAATTTCCACGAATTATTTAACCCCTGTGAATTTCACTTTCTTTATAGAGATGATACTAGACTTCTTAAGGTTGGAAGGCATTATTAAGTTATTAAAGGGAATAGCTCATGTAAAATGTTTATCATCTCAGGACCTTAAACATAGGAAGTGTTCTGGATGGTTATCATTTTCATCACCATTCCCACCATCATCATCAAGTGATAGATAGAATCCCAACAACTGAATTTTGACCTGACACAGCCTGGTCACTTCTTCTCATTTCTTAGGAGTTTAAAGGAAATAAGTATACAGAAACCAGGACCAAACTAATACTTATACTATGAAGTGTAATCTTCATACTTTTTTGCTACTTTTTCTTGTTGTGCTAAATAAGTGATTATAGCAGATATCCTTGTCTAATTTCTACTGTTAGGGGACTGTCTTTATCAGCTCAGGCTGCCATAACAAAATACCAGACTGGGGTTGCTTAAACAACAGACACTTAGTTTCTGACAGTTCCGAAGGCTAGAAGTTCAAGGTCAAGGTACCAGCATGACTGGGTTCTGGTGAGAGCTCTCTCTTGGCTTATAGTCACCTTCCTTTTTATCCTCACATGGAAGGGGCAAAATAAAATAATTATGAAAAGCCTTTGATCTAGTTTTAAAATATTAAACAGAGACTGAGTCCCCAGAATATATGGAATGCCATTATCACTTTTAATGCAATTTATGTTTATAACAATATTTGACTATGAAAAAATTAAATTGAAATAAACTGCTTTCCTTTATATTTTATAGGATAGTAATTAAGAATGCAGAGAAAAGGCAACATGTAAAATAGATTTTTCTATTGGATTGCCTGTTCCGATTCCTTCCTTCAGTTACTAGCTCTGTGATCCTAGCAAGTTACCTACTCTCTTTCATCTTCAGTTTCTTCATCTGTAAAAAGAACATAATAGCACTACCTGTCTTCCGGGGCTTTGAGAAAAATTCAGTGATGATCTCTGTAAAATGCTTGGCGCATAGCAACCACATTCATTGAGAACAACCGTCATCATCATTTTTGTTGTTAAATTGAAAGGCACTTGAAAGTAATACAAGTTAAGGAAGAAAAGTTTCTTTTAGATACAAACTACTTGAAGCTAAAGAAAATATAAATAAAATAGACTTACTAAGGTAATTTCTTAGAGCATGTGTCTAACCAAATGATTTTAGTTAAAATATCTCAATTACATGTAAAAGTAGCCTTAGAATACATCTAAAATTAAAATATTTAAATATTTAACAAAATGAATTTGAGAAATAGAGCCTTGTCACATTGTAGTAAGTTATAAATTAATTTTTACAACTATTTGTTCATTTTAATTGTTTAATTTTAGTAAACAGCTATATTATACTCAAGCTTTTTTGAAAAAGTTTTCTAACCAATTAAACAATTGATTTTTAAGTAGCAGTTGTGATGTGTATCTAAGTCTAAAAGTTGATACTGTTGCAGATATAAACATTTCTTAAAATATTAAAATAGTGTTTTCATGAGAAACTGTTACTAAAGCATATAATTTAGGTGGTTAGTGCTGGTTATTTGACTACCAATTTCTTAGAAAGTATGTGCCAACCCATTTCTTTTATCACATAAAATAAAAAATCAGATGTTTGAAAACATTGTGCCCAGGATGCAGGGGTATATTACTATTCAGAATACATTGGATTTCTGTGAATTTACCAGTACATTTATAAGTCTAAAGAAGTATGTCTTTCACAAGGAAAATAGAAATTTTTCAAAAACAACTTAAAACATTGCAATATTTTTATTTTCTTCTATCAGATGATTTAGAAACATATTACTGTCTTCCCTTAAATTTCTCAAAAAAAATGGTGTTTTTCTATTAACCAAAATATGTACATATTATTTACTATTTACTTTTGTAAAGGTTCAGAGGTCCAAAGAGATGACATTCTGTGGATAGCCATGGCAGGGACTCATCAGATATGGGCACTCCTACTGGACTGTGGCCGACTACCAAAGAAAAAGTAAGTGGCAATATCTCTTTTGGGGTAAACTGCACAACTTGGAGTTCACGGATTCCCTTTCGCAAGTCTCCATCCTCTCGTCACTTACTGTACTGGTCAGGAGGTGCTGGGATACACTACCATGACAAACAGCCAGATTCTCCGTGGCTTAAGACAAGGCTTGGTCCTTTGCTCACTCACTTAGGTGCACCGGGAGCACTGCTCTGCCACACAGGCTGATGCGGCAGCCACCATCTAGAGCTCTGCCAGTCATCCTGGCAGAGAGAGAGGGGCGGCGAGTCGCTTAATTCCTCTTAAAGCTTCTATTCAGAAGTGACACATCACTTCTACTTACATGTCATCAGCCACAGTCAGTCTCATGACCACACCTCATCTAACTTCAGGGACCCTGATGAGCAATCCCACTGAGCGTCCAGAAAGAAGCCTGGAGGCATTTGGTGAGCACTTCCTTTTGACTCTCAGTGCAGGCATCCCCACTCGTTAGTCCAGGTATTTGAGTGCTATAAAGCACCGTGGTTAATAGCTCGGTGTTGTAGTCAGGCCTGAGATTGAATCCTGGTCTGCCATTTACTATCTGTGCGAGCTTAGGGAGCCACTTTAACTCTGAGTTCTTATTTATACTTCCCTCTTAGGTTTGTTTGAGAATCAATATGTGTGAAGAGCTCAGCCTAATGCCTGGCATATTCAGCAAATGGTTGTAGCTTTGTTGTCACTGATGGGGATATAAAGGTGAAAAAGTAGTGTCTCTACGAAGTTTCTTATATCTTTTTCGATAGAGCCTTTTCTCTTCTTCCTAACACCCCAGGTAGAACTGATCATAGTCTTCCCTGTGATTTCATTGCACTGCTTACGTAGTTATGTCACTGCCCTGGTAAGTTCGTCTTCTCTTCCCCTCCCCACCTCTCTCTTTTCCTCTGACTCTCCTTGTCTGTTTTTGGTTGCACTTATTTGTTAATTATTTTGTCTTACTAGACTGCCTCTGAAAGGAAAGAACCCTTTCTCATTCATTTTTGTGTTCCCCATACCTGGCACAGTATCTGGTACATATTAGGAGCCAGTAAGGGTTTGCAGAATAAATAAATGAGTGAAAGTATTAGCCAGAAAGACTGTCAAGTCACCATAGAAAATGCCTGTCATCCTGATTACCTTTATCAATAGAAAGGAGCAGTTGTATGCATAATCCAAAATATCAGATATATTTCAAATAGTGTGTATGTGTGTGCTGTGTTGTATGATGTTTGCAACAATTAATTCCTCTATTTATTAAACATACTGTATGCTAGGCACTATGCTAGGCAATAGGAATGAAATATACTCACTAATTAAGAATAAAATGAAAAGATATGGTTACTGTCCTCAGTGACTAAGAACCAGATTAGCAAACAAACAGGACAGTTGGGGAAGGTGCTGTGTATAAAAAAAATTACTGCAGCAGTCCTTCAACTTGAAATTGTCCCTTGTGTAAATAAGAAGAACATCTGATATCCATCAAGGAAGGCTTCCTGGAAGAAACTAGTAGACTGAAACCTGATAGAGAAGTAGGACACAGACCGGGAGAGTGAAGGTTTTTCAGGCAAGAAATGACTCTAGTCGTGTCAAGTAGGAGCCATATCACAAAGTGCCTTGTGAGAGATTTGAGCATTACTCTACATGCCTTTCTAGAAAGTTTTAAGCTTGGAAGTAACATAATAAGAATTGTTTTTTTAAAAACAACGGGACATTTGGAGAGGGACAAGACTATAGAGACATAGATAGAAGTGAGGAGGTTATTGTTGTAATCCAGGCAGGAGATGATAGTAGCCTAAACAGTGAAGTGACCAAACATTTTCCATGAGACGTAATTTTAAACAGCAGAAAGAAATAACAGAGATGGCCAGAATGTTCTAAGTGATGGCTGTGTTGGACCTAAATGGTCAAGAGTTGACTAAATACCAAATAAGTAGAGTGTTTACTCTCATTCTTATTAGGAAAGTATCCACCCAGATCACATTGACCTGTATCATAATTTTAAGGATGTTTTATCTTTGTTACTGATCTTTGAGTAGGAATGACTCCTAACATTTTAGAAGTTACTGTTTCCACTCTTCCTACCTCTTAAGGGAACTCCTTTTTAGATTAAGACTCCTTGTAGTAATTACCTTTAATTTATTTGTTTGACATGTTAGTTATTACCTGTATTTCTCTGACTAGATTTTTTCCCAGTTCCTTGAGTAAGTGGCCATATTTCATACACTCTATATCCCTTTGCCTCCATCCTCTGCTCCCTGCCTAACTGAGCTTTGGGAACATATCAACCAAAGAGTGACTGATGGTCATTTTAGACTTTTGTATATTGTGCCGTATTTGGATGTGATATGCATGGAATCTCATTATTTTGCTTCAAAGTCAGCTTCTTCTCTTTCCTTACAATCCTTCCAGCATAAATTCAGAAACTATGGTGTAAAACTTTCTCTGCATTACATAAGGAATCTTGCAATAATTCTTGAAGTAGAAAATTCCCTAGTGTATATAAGAAATTGATTTGCATAACTGATTTGTTAGAGCAGCATAATCATCCTGAATTCATTTCTTAAAGTGGGTAATGCTTGAGCTGGTTGTCTGTCGAAGTAATCTTTCAGTCTACTGTGTATAAGAAAACAAAACTTTTTAAAATGGAAACTCAAGATTTAATCTATCAAGAGATAGATAATCTTTTTAATTCCCTTTCAGGACCTAATATTGTATAAATCTAAGAAGAAGTAAAAGTGGGATCCAGCTGTACCTGTCCCTGAACGTTTGGAGGGGGAAAAAAATCTATATCATCAATGATACAATCACTATTCTTGTAATTCTAACCTTCTCAGGGATTTCCTGTCTGACCACTGAGAATAGTTTGTTTTATGTATGTCAAAAATGTAGAAAGGTCCCTACACAGTGGATGAATAAGTTAGTTAACAATTAGAAAAACTACAGTGAAAACTGACTTGCACAATTTAACTGAGCCAAGATCACTAGATTTTATTTTTTTTACAATGCTTACCACCATTGATTTCATCATTAACACTCATTTGTTTAATAATTAAATTGGACACATATAACAATGTTGACTTCCCCTATGAATTGTCTTTTTCAGTGACTTAAAGAAAGGAACCTGCCTTCGGTTTGCTGGAAGTGGAAATGAAGAAAATCGAAATAATGCATATCCTCACAAGGCAGGTTTTGCCCAACCTTCAGGTCTCTCTCTGGCCTCCGAAGATCCCTGGAGCTGTCTGTTTGTAGCTGATAGTGAGAGCAGCACTGTGAGAACCGTTTCACTGAAAGACGGAGCAGTGAAGCACCTTGTAGGAGGAGAAAGAGATCCCATGGTAATGAAATCCCTCCTTCACAGTGTGCCCAGACACTTAAAATAATGCACTTTTCTGAACTGTGAATAGTTCGTAAAATCTGGGGGAGAGAGCGTTCTTGGCCTATCCATAGGTTAAAGTGTAAGTCAAGTCAAAGGAAAGGTGAATATAAAGAAACAAACAAAACCATGTAAGAAAAGCAAACTCTCTCCAGTTGATTATGTATAAACTAGAAGCTCGGTGCATGAAAATCATGCACGGGTATGGTCCCTAGGCATGTCCAGTGATCAGGGTCCATCAGGTTCCCCACCCCCTCCTTCCCACACGCTGCCCACATGCCATCAGCGTGCAGTTCCCCCTGGCTCCTCCTTTCCCTTCGCCACCCGCACTGCGCAGCCGGTCACCTGCCATGTTCCACACCACCCCCTGGTGGTCAGCACACATCACAGCAAGTGATTGAATTCTCATTTTCCTGGTCAAACTCCCGAGGGGACACTTTGCCTTTTATATGTATAGATGTCCAGACTTCAGAGAGAAAGGAAGGATAAAATATTTATTAAGAAGAGGAAAGTGTAAATTAGGTATTTGGCAGGATGGTATAAAGAGTACCAGATTGGTCAGCTTGGCCTGTTCCTGACCAGATGTGTGATTATTGTCAATAAAACTATAAAGTACCACACAATAATACAAGTTCAAAATTCTATCATTTTTATTCTGGTCTGAATCAAATACCCAGCCCTATTTGTATGAAATCAGACCGTTTCCCCCTTTAACTTAAGCAGCATATACAGCCATCTTAATTTTCACTTTATATGCTAACACAACACTGTCGAAATTTTAATATGAGCTGTGTTTTTTTTTTCCTTTTTTAAAAAAGAACTTATTTGCTTTTGGTGATGTTGATGGAGTAGGAATCAGTGCAAAGCTTCAGCACCCCCTTGGAGTAACGTGGGACAAGAAGAGGAATTTACTTTATGTGGCAGACTCATACAATCACAAGGTGAGTCTTGACAGAATTATGTAACACCTTGTTTTTCATCTGTTGTATTTAAAATGCTGAAAAACCTGTGAGCCTCCTACAGTTGCCACTCGAAAACATAAAGAGGAGTTAACAATCTTTGACAACTATATATAAGACCTCTTTTTCTTTTCTTGGTCCTTTCTTTGCAAAGAGGGTATGATGGTACCCTGAGCTGGGGAAAGGACTAGTAAATAAAACATGCTTCCAATGGATATAGCCAAAATTGGGAATTGCAACCCATCAAAGCTGCTTAGTAACAAATTCAGTAAATAAGGAGAAGGTAAGTAGCACAGAAATTAATATGTCATTTAACAAATGAACATTTTTTTAGTTGCATAATTGTAGCACCTATTAGCAAATAATTCTGTTAAAACAGAATTAAAAGCATTTCATTTATCCAACTACTCCTATTTTTATTTTTTATAAAGTTCTTGGAAAATTAATATTGATATTTTGTGATGAAAGACTATAAATTTAATACAGTTGAGACAAAGGAAATCATTAAGTTTAACATAAGTAGCAAATCCTCAGCCAATGTTAGATGCTCATGAGAAGAAAGTCAGTCCAACCGTATCCCATTTTGAGAAAAGAGAATAATATTTTGAAACTTAAAAAAATTTCATCCAAGTTTATTTCCAGAGGGTAAGATGTAACTGGGGAGTTTACATGGTTTTCAGCTCTCCCGTTAGACTATAATTTGAATGTTTGGCTTTTTCAAGAAAATGTAGAAATGCCTATTTTCCTATGATTTTTTTTTAAGAATACTAATAAGCAAAAATTCTCTGGCTTGCTTGATACTGTACTTTTCCATACTACAAACATGAGCTTGAGTTTCAGACATATGATTTTTTTTCATTCTTTTTAGATTAAAGTTGTGGATCCAAAAACAAAACAGTGTACAACATTAGCAGGAACTGGAGATGCAAGTAATGTCAGTTCCAGTTTCACCGAGTCGACCTTTAATGAACCAGGAGGCCTGTGTATTGGAGAAAATGGCGAGTTACTATATGTAGCAGACACAAATAATCATCAGATTAAAGTGATGGATTTAGAAACAAAAACGATTTCTGTGGTAAGTAATCTTAAAATATACCTTAAGGGTACCATTTTATGGGTGACTTTAAGATCTTTAGCACTGACTGCACTTTTGGTTAGTCCGTGTCCAGTTGTGAAAGTAAAGTATGTAGGTAGAAGAGTACGTGAATGTCTGTGTGAAGGATATCATATTATTTTCTTTAAGTAAAAATTCCATTTGTGTCTAGAGTGTTTGAGAAAGATACTGGGAGTTGGAAAGATTTTGAACTTTCAGAAAAGGAAAAAAAAAAAAGAGGACTCTTCTGTTTTTTAATATGTGGACACACTGACACAATTACCCTCACATACTGTGTGGGTTGGGTTGTTTAGTCTTATTTTTATTGATTCTTAAATAAGCATGTAATCTTTGTTTCCTATGGTGGATCCATTACCAAATGGTCTTCCCAAGGAAGTTCTAGACCATCTTTCTCAAGACATTGAAAATAAGATAGAAGTTCTCATCAATTTTTAAAGATAGACACGTGGTCTTGCCGAAACCGGTTTAGCTCAGTGGATAGAGCGTCGGCCTGCGGACTGAAAGGTCCCAGGTTCGATTCCGGTCAAGGGCATGTACCTGGGTTGCGGGCACATCCCCAGTGAGAGATGTGTAGGAGGTGGCTGATCGGTTTCTAACTCTCTATCTCTCTCCCTTCCTCTCTGTAAAAAATCAGTAAAATATATTTTTTAAAAAAAGATATACACGTGGTCTCAAAATTTTTTAAAAATGCAAGTGTTTTTCCTAAAATTCTAGGAATTTCCAAGGTATATTATGATGACAATTTGTTTTTATTTTAAAGCATGTAATTTCTTGTGACACAGAGCTGATATATGATGGCATCATATAGTTGGCAATGAAAATTATAAGAGGATGTATATTATATCCACTACATTTAAATTGATATAGTTTTAATTTTCTGCCATCTGTAAACATATTGAACAATTAATTCTTTTTCATTCATAAGTGTTGGTAATTTTTTTGCCAAAACAAAATATATTTCTAAACCTCATTTCAGCCTGAAGTCTAAAAATAAACTCTCTACAATTATTGTAAAGTACCGGTGCTGGAATAAACACATTTTCTTATTTCCCAGCTCCCGGTCTTAGGCTCTGGAAATGCTGTGGTAGATGGCCCGTTCCTAGTAGAAAAAGTAGAAAAACAGACAGTACCCAAACTACCGAAATCAGCTCCAGCCGTTCAACTCCCCCCCGTGGCTGCGTCTCCGGGACAGACTCTGCAGTTCCAGCTGAGATTAGACCTCCCGTCAGGAACAAAGCTCACTGAAGGGGCACCCAGTTGCTGGTTTCTAACAGCCGAAGGTATGTGAATAATCCTGCAAGTGCAAATATTCCATAAATTCTTGATGTTTAATCTTTCTCATTTGTATATGATATTTTTACTCTCTAGTTGGGCAACATTTGAAGGAAGTCTTGTTACAAAATAGATCTAGATCTAACCCCACTTTAGCAGTTTTCTTTAGTCTTTGAAATTCTTTTATCTTTTTTATTAAAAAACAGTGTAACTCATCCAAAAGTACTCAATCATAATTGCCTGCATTTGCTACTAGGCAAGTCCATCACCTGAGGCTGACCTCTGTGGTCTCAGAATGATAGGTCCTCCAATGTTAGAGCTGTGAAAGGCACCTTCTGTTATGAGGAGGACTGATGGCTCAAAGAAATAGTGATTATAATAACTGCTGATACTAATTATGGTAAATGCTCAAGGACATATATGGAATTAGGCCAAAAATGGAATTTGAACCCAGTTGTGCTTATAGTTGGTTTGTCTTTTCCATTGTGCTACTTCCTCTCAAACTAGCTATAGAGTTGTTAGTCTTAAAAATTAATTTCATTTTTTTAAAAAGCAAGTTCAAAATCCCACCGATTACCCATTTGGATGTTATGAAAGTTTCTAAACCTTATTCTCAGTGTCTGTACTTACCTCATGGTCTGTGGATGAGTACCAGTCCACAGACTATCCTTGGAGTGGCACCATGCTAGAGCACTCCAACATGCACAGCGCAGAGGGAGGAGAGGGACCAGGGAAGCAAGCGGGAGCAAAACCCAGAGAATGCCCAGCTGCGTTAAGAGTTATTAACAGATCAGGTAAGATAAGGACTAAGAATTGATCACTGATTTAATGTTAGAGAGTTAGTTGATGTCCTCTGAATGATGGAGGTGAGAACAGAATAGGAGAACTAGAGAAAGCAAATCCAAATAACTCAGGAGTTTAGCTGCAAAGATAAGAGGGAATGGAGTTAGAGAACAGCATGTTGATTGATGGCAAAGATCCAATAGAGAAAGAGTTGATGAGATGTGATGGGACCAGGTGCACAGTAGATTGTGGGCATTTGCACAGTTAGGAGAGAAAGCCCCTGTGTGACCCAGAGCTGTGGAGGGTAGGGTTTGTGGAGGCCCTTTTCTGATGCTTCTGTTTTCTTGGGAAGCACGGGCCATCAACAGAGTGAGTGAGAGGGGAGAGGTTTTGGAGGTTTGAAGAGAGAAGAGGGTCATCCAGGAGGACGGGAGGGTGAGTACATGAAGGAAAAGCAGTGTGACTGCTGAATAGCTGGAGGCTACCCATCAAGGATGGAAAGCCAGGCTAGTCCACATGGAGGCTGTTTCTCTCCAGCCAACTGTAGCCATAGGGCGCAGGCAGAGCAGGTGAGTGTTGAATAGTAGTATAAGCAGGTCTGCTACAATGGCAGGTTATGTGCCGTCCACGTGGGTCTCCACAGTCCTTATCCAGTATTCACTGTGTTTGCCACTATGCCTTTCAGTAATAGAATCTCACAGATTCTGTTCTAAAGAATTAAGTTGATTTTCCCCTTTAGTATATATTTTTAAAAACATATGTTTACGAGTATATATTTTTAAAAACATATGCTTGCTTTTCACTGAAGAAATGACATGAGCTGTTTCCCATTCAGTTCTTTGGTTGTGTTATCTTTTGCTTTTCAAGGTAGCATCTATCAAATGGTTTAGAGCTTTCAATTGCTGTTTATTTTATTTCAATATAATAGTATCATTAAGACTTGACTTACCAGTTACTAAGCCTGAAGCCACATTTTCTTCTTTAGAGATGCCAGACAGAATTAATGCTCCATTACTCGCTTCCTACAAGAAAACAGGTCCCAAAGCCATATTTTAAAAGTATGCCATTCAAGTAGAAAAATACAACATTTTTGGAGGGTGTGTAATTGAAAACAAATGAATTACTATGAGCAGAATCCAGGCTAATAATTTGTATCCTTTTAATCTAAGAATACTTCTTGTTTGAGCCTATTTTCAAAGTACTCAGTTACTGTAAATTAGATGAAGCTTTGAATGTGTTTCAATCAGTGTGAACTTATCAGTTTGTAGTAAGGAATCAGTGACCTGCCTGTCTTACGCAGTGCTCTCTAGCCGCTCTAACAGACTGGACCCTAACTTTAAAGTAAAGTATTAGTTGTCCAGAACTAAATGCTGACTTGTCTCTCATGATCTTCCTCTGTCCTAGTCTCCCACGCTCTTTCACACGTTCTCACTCAATCTTCCATTTCCTCCCTGACCTTCCTCCCTCGTGCCCTCTCACACACTTTTCTTTTGCACGTTACCCAGATCCAGGCTCTGTGCCTCCTTACCTTGGTGCATTCTCAGGCAGCAACGACTGCCCTGCAACAACACACTTGGTGTCCATACCAAGAGAACAGAGAGATCTTGTTAGGCTAGCCAGGAGGCACTGCTGGGTTCGGGCTTGGGAGTCTGGCTCTGGGGTATCTGAGCCTGTGTGGAACATCTCCTTGCTCCCCACACCAGAGAGGGCTGGGTCCTGCAGGACTAGGAGGGTGTTTGGAGCTGGCTTTGCAGACAGAAGAGTACTCAGACTGTGACCACTCCTCATGCCTCCGTAATTCAGGCAAGTTCTCAACAGCCAGTTTAGCTGCTCTGCCTGTGTCCATTGGCCTGGAAGCGTGCCATCATTTGGAGATCACTGTTAATTTAACTTGTCTGTGTGAAATATAGAGTAGTGTATTGATTTTTAAAATAGGATATTGACATGTTTAACTCTACTTTGTCAAACACACAAATTAATGTTGATTCATTGGACTATAAATAGGGATAGTATTAAAGGAAAGTGAAGTAGTTTATAGAGCAAATTCTTAGCTATTTTACCACTTGTCTAAGATATTGGTTCCATTTTTATTGTATAGGAGCAAATAAGATTTTTGGAAATTTTATAGGGTACATTTATACACCTATGATTAAAGGACATTTTTTCTTGGCCAGTTATTTAGAAACAGAATCACTTATTTTTAATTGAATTTTGGTCTGTATAATCTTAGTTTTCAGCATATGTGAAAGTTTTAAGCCAAAAACAAACAAACAAAAATACCCAGCATAAAAACAAAGCACCACTAGTATATTATAACTTCACAAATCGCATGTGTGACGTATCTGAGAAATATCTAAAGAAGCATTCTGTGTTTATTTCAAGAATTAGGTATTAAAAAGGCCCAGTTTACTTTGCTGTTTGATTTAAGATATAAGAAGTTTCCCACCAGCCTGCTGTTTAGCAAAATCAAACATTCAATAAAATAAAACACTCCTCAGTTCAGAAATAAAGGAGGCCCAAGAATTTTAAAGATCATTTTAAAATAATTGTTTAAAAGTTCCTGCATAAAAGCTGGATTTAACTCTTTAGATTCTCACCTTTCCCCTTCTTACTCTTATTTGGCATGTTTTTCTCAAGTTTGATTTTTTAGTCAACAGAATAATAGATGCAGTAAACTAAAAACAGGTGCTCTGAGTGTTGGCTCATCCTGAGGTCAAAAGAAAGAGACAGGAAAGCTAAAGAGTAGGCCTAGAATCTCATCACTACTCAATAGGTGGTTCCATTTTTGCAGGAGCCATCGATCAGTCATTAGATTACACTCAGTGTATTCTACCTAAGATGTCAGGAAAGCGTGCCCTGCACTTCCCATCTGCTGGCTCTTGATCTCTAACTCCCTCTAAAGCTGAATGTCTGCAAGCACGTGCTTCCTCATTGTGGTGCATGTGTTCCTTCTGACAGAGGCACTAGATGAATAAAGACATTTAACGTTTTTTAAATATTAGAAGATTAAAGTTTTTAGTGATTTATTAGACTTCTGTTATATAGATCTATGTATTAAGTCTTGCAAGAGTTTTATGTAATAAGGAAGTAGACATAATCTCTCAGTTTTTACATTAGAATAATATATGCAGTATTACTTATTTCTAAAAAATCAGTGTTACTTTTTATTATTACCTTTTGATAGACAATAATGTATCATAATCTCAATTTGCAAGTCACTGCAGAGTTAAACATACATTTGTATTCCCTAGATTTTTTTGTAGTTTTCATATTATATTCCTGAATACTTTTTATCTTTCTTATACAGTCTTAATAATTTACCTTTTTACCTTTTAGGCAATGAATGGCTTCTTCAAGGACAGGTGCCATCTGGCGAAATAGAGAGCATCGCCAATCAACCAACGATCTCACTGCAGATTCCTGGGAATTGCTTGTCACCTGAAGCTGTTCTGTCTGTCAGCGTGTTTCTTTATTACTGCAGCGCAGACAGCAGTGCCTGTATGATGAAGGGAGTTTTGTTCAGTCAGCCTTTACAGATAAGCGATGCACAGCAAGGCTGCACAGCTCCAGTAGAGCTCAAGTACGCGTTTTAGCCAGCAAGCTAGCAACCGGTCTCCACAGCCGTCTGTTCTCCATTCTCACTGTCACTGTCACTTATGACAAGAAACTTCACTCCTGCCTCTGGATACCAAGAAACCCACTGCTCAGTTCTAGCAGCTGATAGTCAAGTACAGCTATGCTCCTTATTTAATTATTTATTATAAGCAAATTCCTTCGTTCTGGCTGTACCAAATAAGTCACTGGCGGTTGTCTGAACTATGTTGTTGTAATCTATGCTGCTATTTGACACATGACTTAAGTCCACACTTATAGTATAGAATATTATCATGAGATAATTTGCAGTGCTTGCTGATAACAATGGTATCAAATATTTTAACTAACTTTTTCTATCTTTGTTAATAGCGAGCAGCACACTTGAATGTGTAATTTCACAATAACTTTAAAGAGTACCCGAGATCCAGACCACATGTTCGTATAAGGACACCTGACATTCAGGGCATAAGGTCTGTTCTAAGCCTCTCCCTCCCCCCAAAATCTTTCCTCAGAGTAGAAGCTTAGAGGACCTGGGTGGTAAATGTGTTCTTCGTTCTCTTCTGTGGTTTTCTCAGTTGAAATACATTGAAAAGAGCATTTCTATTTTTATTATGTTACTTGCTCTTCTAACTTACCATTGTTAATGCCTTATAACTCTATACAGAAAAGTCTCTAAGGACATACAGACTCACTCCCTTAACCGTGTCCTGAATGAACAGCCTTACCAGGTAATGAATGAGTCCTCAGAAATAGGACTTTCAAGGAGAAAGGATTTAGAGTCACATTCCTGTGATATTTTTTAATGATAAAGAATTGTGACAGATGAATCATGGTCTCTGTGTTTTAGAAATTCACATTTCATGTGTAGGCATTAAATGCAGATTTGTTGGGTTCCAGGATTTTCAGGTCCCATATTCAGAATTTAAGTTAACGATCATTTATTGTGATATTTTTTAAAATTAATTCTAAGCCTTCAAAGTGAATTCCATGTAATGCACTTTCATGCTATTAATATGTATAGTATATATCCTAATATGTTACTCTTTAAAATATTAAGGTTGAAACATACAGGGATTTGATAACACTTGGGTTTTTTTTTAACCCCAAAAGATATGAAAGTTTTTTTTTAATCATAATTTCTCTTTATAACTATTTAAAAGCCTATCCTTATTTTTACTAAAACTGATTCAACAGGTTTGTGGTTTAATCAACTTACAAGTTTTTTTTTAAATCAGATGAACCACATTCAATAAATATTTATGGACAGTATCCCTTTCCCCCTTCAAAAACAGTGCTAAAATTTGAAATAGAATCTTTTAAGCACCACCATCTATCTATTTTCTTATATTTTTTTGAAATATAATTGAACATCCTACCTCTCTTTATTCAGGTTACCTACATCTCTGCAGTAATGAAATGCACAGATCAGGACTTGGACTTCATTTGTAACCTGCTAGTGCTATTTAAAGAGAGGTAGAAATGTAAAGAATTCTGTTTAAAATTATATGTATTTACCTCATAAACCTTTCCTCAAAATAAAAAAACAAAGAAGTTATATAATAAAAGGCAAATAGGCCGTGGCCATTTTTTAATACCATTTGATTATGATACTTCTCATTGCCAGTTGGATAGGATGAGAATATTTTTACTTTATCTTTTCCTATTTAAGGATATAAACATTTTCACTCTCTAAAATAAGTTTATACAATTTTAACTTGATAATCCAGATATATCTGCTAATAATTTTTTAACATTGTACACAAATTGTATTGTATGTATTTTCATGTACATTAAAAACCCAAAAATATTTGTTTAGACAGTGTTTTAGGTTAGTATTTGACTTTCAAAGTACAGTTTTAATGAACATTCTTATTCTTACCCAGCCACCAGCCTGCATTGTTTTTTCACATTCCAAATATTTATATGATTAGAATTTTTTGCAAATCATACTAAAGCAATAGAAATAGCTTCCTAGAATTTGTGACTAACATAAACCTCTTACATAGAGGAAGTATGAGAAGGTTTATTTTTAAAAAATTCTTGATCCTTGTCTGTTTTCTGTTTACTATAGGAATGTGCATATTTTTAACTTTTGCTTTTCTCCTGCATAAATGATGATAACCAATGTAAGTCACCTTAATCATGATGCCAGGGGAGTGGCATTACACACACTTTGACATAATACCTGGAATCTTTGCCCTTAACTATTCTACTGGTTTGGCCACTATTTATAGCATTTCACAAATGGTAGAATTTTTTTCTGCATTTATACTTTAGATTGATATGATCCCTGAAAAGAGTTTTGCTAATCTTGAATATGCTGTCTCAAGCAAATATTTAACAACTATTCACAGGGGAAAGTTGATAGTTTAATCACCCGTAAGTATAACTTGGGCAAATTTCATTGACTAAAAAAAAATTCTCTCCTTAACTATTATAATATATATTTAGTTATAGTATTGTCAGGTTGGAGAAAACTATAAATCTTACAGCTACAAAAGGGGTTTAATATGTGTGAATGAGTGTATGTATATGTATATATGTATGTGTATATAAATACACACACAGATACAAAGATCAACTCAGGAATTTCTCACATAAGTTTCTCTTATGGCCAATATATTTTTGAGCTCTAACACCACTGAAATAAGATATTTTCTGCTTGTTTCTCCATAGTTAAAAAATTGGGAAAGATATTAATACTATTGCTGTAATATAATAATTGTCTGCTTATACAAAAGTTACCCTTAGTTTATATCTGCCAATTAAAAAATGTTCAATCTAACCACTATATTGGCATCATAGTTAAGAATCATCATCAAAAATCAACAAAATTCTTCCCTGGCTGGTTTGGTTCAGTGGATAGAGCGTCGGCCTGTGGACTCAAGGTCCCCCGGGTTTGATTCCAGCCAAGGGCATGTACCTCAGTTACAGGTTCCATCCCCAGCCCTGGTTGGGGCGAGTGCAGGAGGCAACCAATCAGTTGTCTCTCACATTGATGTTTCTCTCTCTCTGTTTCTCCCCTTTCACGCTCTTTAAAAATCAATGCAAAAATATCCTCGGGTGAGGATTAACAACAACAAAAAATAACCTAAACTCCATAGTTCACAATTGCATAAAAATGTATGTGGAGGAACTATGTCAACTTAGTTTTCCTGAATGGTAGAATTATTGATATATTTATTTTAATTCTACTTGTGTTCTTTTTTTCAGTGAACAATGTGTTATTTAAAAAACAACTGGAAATGTTTTTGAAAGATTTTAAATGAGCTAAATAGTAAGCACTTATTATATAATAACTTTTCTTACCAAAGATCAAAACATAGTTTAGTGCTCTTGGATCTACCAATTCTAAGTATGTGGTTCAGTGAAAACAGAAGTGATTGTGGCTTTTTCTGCTGGTGTTTTGTTGTGTAGTGGTTAAGAGCAGGGACTTTACAGTCACTGGATTTAACCCTATAAAATGGGGCTACTACCCCTGCCTCATGGAGCTGCTCTAAGGATTCAATGAAATAGTGTTTGTAAAGCATTTAGTAATTAATGCTGTTAATTATTGATTTAGTTAGTAATAATAATTTATGACCATAACAAATGACATTATCTCTGCAACCATAATTTCTCTACCAACTATCTGATATGTTAATATTCACCAGAGAATTGGGATTCAAGATGAGAAATCCAGTTTTATAATAAAGCATATTACTCTTTTATAAACTATATTATAGTTATAAGGAAACATCTGCAGTTTTTTAATTTTTATTTTAAAGACCTTGTAGAACTAAGAGTCATAAACTTTTTTTGAGAGGGTCTAGACATACTCACCCAAAACTACATTCTTGTAACATACTATGGATGGTGCTTTACAAAATCTTCATGCATTTTGCCTCATTTGAGCTTCCAGGTAACCTAAGGAATCAGACAAGTAGATGTTATGTCCATTTTGCAGCATAGAAAACGGCTTTAGAATGTCAGTGGCATATCAAGGTCAGATCCCCCAGAACATGCCTGAGGCCGCTGCGGTGCCTGGCGCCAATGACTGAACGGGGGTGATTGGTGGGTCTTTTATTTGAACACAGGTCTCCTCATTCCTGACGCTACTCCTAAATGCAGAGTGAGAATAAACTGAGCAATTAGGAGTACTTGTTTCCTTCTGTGAATGCTTTCTTTAGCCTTTGCAGTATTTAAGTAAATAAGGATAATGGCTAAATTTCCTGAGTGCCTACTATGTTCCTGGCACTTTTCTAAGTGCTTTATATGTATTAACTCATTTAATTTTCACAACCACCTTATAAGGGAGGTACTATTTTTTCTTATTTCCCTGATGAGGAAACAGAGACACAATGAAGTTATAAGCCGTTACACAAACATAATAGATCCCCCATTTAGGAAGAGGCTGTATTGCCTCTCAAAGTAGTTGTCTTAAAAACAAATCTTTCATAGTTAAATCTAGTAACTAATCAATCCAAAGAACCAAAAAAATCCTATTGATAATTGGTTAAAATTTAAATTAGCCCTAGCCGATTTGACTCAGTGGATAGAGTGGCGGCCTGTGGACTGAAGGCTCCCAGGGTTGATTCTGTTCAAGGGCACATGCTTGGGTTGCGGGCTCGATCCCCACTGGGGTCATGCAGGAGGCAGCTGATCCATGCTTCTCTTTCATCATTGATGTTTCCATCTCTCTCCCCCTCTCCCTTCTCTGAAATTAATAAAAAAATATATTTAAATTAAATTCATTCAATTATTTTAGCTTTTGGGATTTTTCATTATGCACTCATCTTTCAGAGTTTGGAACAATCTGTAATTGTTCCCCCAAAGATTTTCGCTATCATTCTCAAATCCAGATGCTATCCACTTTTTCTTGGCAGGTGGGTGTATTAAAGGATTAAATAGCTTTTCAGTGTTCCAACAATGCCATTTTAATTGGTTTTCAAAAGGTAACTATAAGACCTTATCATAGAGTTTAACTGAATTTGTAGCACAGAACTGCCTCAAGCCCAAAGTACTCATTTATATTTAAGGAAATTTTGTTTTAATAAGCAGAGTGAGCTCTAGAAACATAATATTTGGCCATTTTGTTAACACACACAGAGGTCTCTGCTTCATAAATAACACTGTGGTATGTAGACCCTCTCCTCCAACAGTGACTCAGATAGATGCAATTCCATTACAGTCAAGTTCTCCCCAGTCAGCCTATTATTCCAGCTTAAAGGAATGGAACAAGTGATTCATTGTCATCCAGGTACAAAAACATAAACATCTTTTCATTGTTAGTTTGTTAATTTAAATTAAGTAATATTAGAATTTCTTAATTTTGCTGAATCTTATTTCTAAAGTCCATAAGGAACTGTACATCAACTTAAAAGGGTATTGTCATCCTTTAGAAGTAGAATTTCCCCTCTCACTGTTAGTCACCAAGATTCTTCCTTCTCCTCTGCGGCACATAATTTAAATAAAGAATTCATATTTACCATAAGTCACTCTTTTTTTCCTAAATAAAAGTTGGCTTTCCCCCCATTTCCTTGCAATAGGGTACTATAACCAATGGTGTTAAAAGTTAGGGGCTCAGCTCATCTGCCCCATGTGTATGACATGCCCAGCCAGCCTTGGCTCTTACCCGTGCTAGACTGTGGGTGGGCCTGGCTGCTTTGGGCTTCGCATCGGCTGACCACAGAGCCTCGGTGCTGGGGCAGGAGGCAGCCTCTGCCAGCACCCCTTCCATTGCTGATCCAGTTTATCTTCAGGGCTGGAGTTGGAAAGCGAAAGCCCTAGCCTAGACACTTGGGGAATGTTTGCCTAGTTACAGGTATTCATTGTTTGGTGTGGCCCTCCTCTTTGCTGGCATGTCCCTCTCAAGTCTACGTACCAAAGGACGTCCCAGTCTGTTGAATCCAGTCACAACCAAAAAAAAAAGAGGAATCATAAGTATTTCTAATACCCTTCCCGGCCTGTACCCACACCCACACACTGGACAGCACCACACCAGCAGCTAAACCCGTGCTCAGGGCACTTCTGTAACTGCCAGAGTGGGGCATGAATTCTTCCTCTAAGTAGCAACTTTCAGACTAGGAGTAGTTCATTAACACAGAGTTCAGCAAAATTGTCAGATTTTTTTAACGTGCGAAATTTGAAACTGAGGCAAATGATCAACTTTCTTTTGCTTTTAATATACTTTGTTATGTATTTACTAGTACATTCGAAATAAAGCAAGATAAGACCTCATAATACTGATGTGGAGAGAAAAACTAGCTCTCAGATTTAAATAGGCTCAATTTAAACATTGTATGATTCTTTAGCATGCTCTGCTCATGAAAAATGTTAAGGTATGTAGGAGAAAACATGAGTTGATAAATTGTGATAATAAAGAATAAAAATAGAATGTTCCTTTCTGAAAATGTAGGGCTCTGTCATGTAATAGTCTTCTATTTTTAGAACCTGTAGTTGCTCTGAGTCCCACCAGAAACCTTTTGGTTCTGTAAACCTGTACGTGATGTTCACTATTGTGCCCATTACAGTGTTCAAAATGCTAACAGGTTTTTGTGTGTATAGAGTTGAAACGTTTTGTTCACGCATGTGTCTGATATTTAGCATCCACATTTACCTGTAAAAAAATACCCTACCACTTCCTCTCCACACCTAAGGCTTCCTCTCTTTAAAACCAACAGTAGTTTCTATGGAAGTTTCGCTGAGGAACTGTGGTTACAGAAATAACAGAGACAGCAAAATTTTGCTGTGGTCAGTTTTTTTCCCTAGATTCCTAATATCTCAGTTTTCAAAGGAAATGTATCTTATGTGACTTTGAGATTAATTTTTCTCTATTTCGAGGTATACCTCCCTAATATTTTAGGTTAATAAAAAAAATGTTAAATTCTTACTAAGGCCCATTAAAAGCCAGTTTAGAAATGTTTTAATGGCTGTCATTATTTGACATGTGGATTATGAACAAATCCAAATTTTCCGTGTGATATATAATTACTTTCAAATTGTAACAATTCATAAATTTGTCAAATTTTAAAGACAAATGCTTCTCTTTAGTGTTGATAACGTTGTGGTTTTATTTCTGAGAATAGAGTTGGTTTGCTGTGCTGACTTCATGCCTGTCATTCCAAAGGTTTGATTGTATTTATTCTTTTTTTCCAAAGATGAAAAAATGCAATGAAAATCCAATTTACAAGGACATATATTGATATTTCTAGACATGGTCTAGTTCTAAAAGAATTTACTTGGTTTGCATTTTTAAGCGTTTCATGTAGCCAGATTAATATATTTTTATACAACACTGTATTTCTACATTTATTTCAAGACTGTTCTCAGTGACTTTTTCAGGTACCTGTGTTAACAGAAGGTTGTTTGGAACAAGTGTGCGGTGGGCTCTGTCACAGAGTCAGAGTGTAAACCGTGACTGTGGAAAGCGAGAATGTGCTTATGCTGTACACTGAGGCCTAGTAGCTGTTTTCTAAAGGTTTGTACATTTTTTCCATGAAACAGATTAAATATTTTCTCTCTAAAGCCATGTTTCTGTTTTTTCAGTATGCTTTTTAAGTAAATTATGAGATAATTTTACTGCTTAGAAACCTGGAAGTGGTTAGTTCTTGTTTGAACTTTTGTAGAAATGGGCATTAATACTTAGTTTAAAAAAACAACAAAAAACTGCAAGCAAATAACTCAAAATAAAATCAATCGTAGTTACCATAGATTTTTCTGAAAATATTTGGAAAAGGTGCTCTTTTCAGGAAATGGTAGTGGGAACATTTGAAAAACACAAGTAGAGCTCCACTTAACAGGACCCAGAATTTGAAAGGAATTAATGACAACATAAAAAGAATACAGAAATGCCAGGAGAAATAAAGGAGGAGAGGGATGAGGATCTAAACACCCCGAGCTCAGAGATT